CGTTTACTTCGTTTGAGTTTGGCCGTGGCTTACGAGACCGATCCACCAAACCGCTACCGCCGACCTTGATCAAGACCAAGGCCGTACCTTTGGTGGCCCTCGAGTCCGTCCGTCCTTTCCGCCAACAGAACATCCAGGTTACCGCCGACTGCGGCTCCTTTCGCCCGCTCACATGATTTGGTAAATATAATAAAAATGTGTAATTTATTTATTTTTCGTGTAATGGTTATTTGTGTATCAAGGGAATTAAGACGATGCGACAGAGCCCGAGGGTTAAATATCGAGTAATGCCTGAGGTACATACAAAATTTTATTTTTCATAATTCCAAATAATGTATTTCCAATATACAAATGTAATGATTATTGTTGGCCCAACATTAAAGTGCTTCATACAAATCAAGTAGCATCTTTTTTTAATGCATAATATAACTCCATCAATATATTTGACAAGACATTTGAGCGCATAGTGCAATGACAATCCATTATGCCATCTCATTATGCCCTCGGGTGTCATAGACTGCTTTATATATCTCATATGACAGATATAATTGGCATATAGACAAGTTGGTAACAGCAAGTGGAAAAAAACTAAAAACAGAGCTGTTTTGAAGCCGGAAAAAGTTTTTTTCTTCCATTTAATAGGAGTAAAACTTTTTTCAAGTACGTTTCTTATTTTTAAACTCTGGAAACACAATAAATTTGAACGCGAACGAGAGTGAGCAGTGCGGAAAATAAGATAGTCTTTAATAAAAATTACTGTACCTTTGAGTCATTGATTTCCCGCTTTTTCAGCTTTCAGTGTGCCGTACCAGTACTATTCCTCTATAATTCTACAATTCTGATTGTCGCCTTTCTCTTTGTACAGTGGCACCAACACACTCTTCCTCCAAGCCTCATTGTATATTTTATCAAACAAATCCAACAGAAGGTCCTTCCGCACCCAGAGCCTGCCATGGCTCCGCTGGTATGCCATAAAGCCCAAGGCTTTCCGCTTTAACGCCTTTTATTCTCAATATCGCCTTAGCGCTTTTCCCACGTTTCATTCCAGATGTAACATTCTCGATCTCTCTATGAAGGTGAGTACCGACAAAGGGAATATGGTAGCCCCCCCCCCATAAGATCTTATTGACAGCGAATTGAGAGTGAACGGGACGTCGGAAGTGGGTACTGACAAACGGAATATGGTGGCCCGAGAGGTCTGTAATGAGAGAGGTCGACATCCTTGCTTTTTAAGAAAGATATGCTTCAGTAAAATTTTAGTTTCTACCTAAATAACGTTCCGTTTTTTTTTACCAGCGAATCAGTTTAGAAATCCAAAACTTCACTATTTTTAGGAAATGACGAAATGGAATCTTTCATATTTAGGGAGTGCCTCGGAATAATGCGGTACGGTGTTCATTAGTCACTTTTCCAGCATCCTGTGCTTTCCAAACACGTAGGTTAAATTTTTTATTCCAATAAATTAAACCATGTTTATTAGTCGGATAGAGTGTAATTAAAATAAACCCCATAAGCAACATGGTACTTTACGCACGGGCATAAAAATTGGGTTTACGTGCTTACTAAAGCTGACCTGTAAAGCTATTATTTCGCATACGGAGTAGGGTATAGAATAGAATAATCTTTATGTAAATGTACCAATAAGCTTTAGTATGAAATGGATCATGCAAAAACGAATTTTGTTTCTACAGGCGGGTTTCGAAAAACGTGCGTGTGTTTTATGTATTTCGGTTCACATGATAATACCTAGAGGTTAGTGTTAATATAAATAGACCGCAACGGTAAAGTTTCTTTGAATTGAACATTCCAATTTTCCGCAGTAAAAAAGCGATTTCCTAGTGCTTCAAATAAAGCCATAAAATAAAGAGAAACACAAACACAAATTGAATGTTTATGTGTTGCGTCTAGAAAAAATAAATCCTTTGCTTGCTGAAACGGTCGTAAAGTGAATACACCGCTCCCATCCGAATGACAATAAAATTACCTATTTTTAACAGTTAAATATGCCGATATACTTACATTTCAAATAAACTTTTGACAAATTTATTTGTTTGAAAAATATTGAGGGTTCAGCAGCTCACACTGGAGCAGTATTTTACTAAAAGCTCATTACATACGGTAAACAATCAATTATTCATACACAGAATGCCGCAGTAAATGTATGCACCGAGCTTTTTGGTCATAAGTTAGCATTCAGGACGTACGCTAAGATAAAGAACAGGACGGATTTTGTAGGTCACATCGTCCGTTTGATGGAGAGATTGGTGGTTTTGCAAAAGATGCCAACAAAATATGGGTTTTTTTTTAATTAACGCATCGCTAATTTAACTCTATTGTTCAAGACTGCCAAGTTCCGGGAATTATTTCAAGACAGTGTCATGAAATGAAAAGGATGAAATCAAACGAGCGCACCAACAAATAATAAAGTGCTAACAAGCTTAGCTTAGGTTTTAATTGGAAGCGCGAATGCAACAGAATCGTTACAATAAAGTAGTTTTAATTCTAAGAAACAGAAAATACTTCTTAAAACACCATTGTAGAGCACTCGAAAAAGTAAAAAAATAGCGTTGAAAAAGCTGACTAGATGCATTAATTCTCGTAGCGACTTCATTTAGAACGGGAATGTAAGGGTTTAAGAGGATACAAATTAACAAATTACACCGCTTTTTAGGTTGTCTACGGGCCCTTAATCTCACTTAGACGCACTTAAACTTTTATTATTTTATACGATAATTACAACTGTTACACCATGTCTGGTCTTACTGTCAATTGGTTAAGATATTAATGAACCACGATAAGCAAAAATCCGATTATACTTTTCTCATTCGGACTTTGCTATTTTATACTTCTCTCGGCATTTTATGGACAAAGCGATATAATTTCAAAATTAAACGAACCTTTAGAAATTTCTATATCTCAATTAAACGCAAGATTATACTTTGTAGCAATAAATTTATATGAAATTGGGATACAATTGGTATTGTAATATTGCTCTCTAATGTTCGCTCTTAGCAACGTTGTTACAAATGCAAATTTGTAATTACGTGTGCCAACAATTGTGCTAATCTAGTTAAATAGCAGTGTAAATGTGCCGTCGATTCCTGTTGTATCTTATAAGATGTTTATCATCATCTATGCGTCACCGACTACCTACTGCAATGGAATCAGAGGGTCAAATTAAAAAATGTATGTTTGCAAAAATGTACTTCCTCTCACACCTTGGAATTAATTAAAACAGCCCTAAGCAGAATTTTTGCCATAAGATATTTCGACCACATTCGCTGATTTTGTGATAACTAATCGCCGCGCGGTTCCGTTTTAATACTGTGGATTCTACATCTATCATTCAGGAAGTATAACGACGCAGTCCTCGAAAATACGCCATTTTGTTCTACCTTTTGCGTTTTTTTTTAATGTTAGTCGTGAAGGACAGATTTTGAAGCAATTATTGTCCTACACCTTTTTAAAATAGACAAAATTTGTGGCAATTCAAGCCATCAACAGGCTCTGTATGTCTAATAGTTTCCGAGATACAAATAGTTTTATCAAATTTGCGTTTTTTTTACAAACAAAATTTGTTAATTTCCATATTAATCGAAAGAATTTCACTTAATTTTGTACCTATACTGTGGAAACGCACTTAATTGATTTCAATGTTGGGGATACTGAAAGACTTCTCAGTTTATTTCTCAACTTTAAAAAAATCTTCTTGAATTCATCAAGGTTGCCTACAGTTATTTTAAAGTTCTGGAATTTTCTTCACGTTCCCTTCTGTCAATTTCTTCATATCAAGCCCGTCTAAACTTAAATTCTCCTAGTTTTCCAACTACGCAAGCGCCAATCTGGACTGCCAACCGTATGGTGAGGAGATCTCTGCACCGAGACAACGAAGAAGCGATTCGGCTCATGACTGCAAAAATAGATTACGACGTCATCAAAAGGGTAAACCGAGGAGGAAGGCGCCAGGACTACTCGGTGGAAACGTGTCAATCGTCCTTTTAAGTACCCTCATCCGACGCTCTTCCGTTCTTGGGATATGAGGAATTATAACCAATCACGATAAGGGATCTAGGAGGAGGAGGAAGACAGTGAGTGGTAGAAACTAATTTCTTTCGCTGAGACCTTTCATTAAAGTACTGTAAAGGATGAAACCAGTCCCTCCAGCCGCCCATTTTGAAAAGGGACAAGGAAGAAAGGCGGTAGTTAGTAGAAATTAGTTCCTCTCATTGAGACCTTTAATTAAGAGTACCATGAAAGAAAACCAATTGGAAAACGCATTCTGGCGCCTTTATTTCAAAACGTACGCAAAAAAACTTGTCAATTGAAGAATCATTCGAGATTCTTGCAGCAATCTGTTCCCATCGTATCATCAAGTGGAAAATAATTGACTATCCTTCTGAGTCGTTTTACCTGTGGCGAGTTGTACAAAAGCTTCGGCAAACCGTTGATCTATTTTTAGTGCACTATTTGAGTCGGTTCGAGTATTCTGAAAACCTGCGAGAGTGCTTTGGTACTTTGCAGGACGTAATTTACATTTCATTATTGAAACATGCAATCAAATGTTCCAAATATGAATGTTTTTATTCTAGTAGTCAGCTAGTTTGTTTAGGATCCACCAGTTTTTTCTTCGCTTTACTTGCCATCAAACAAATCTTTTAGTGCTTATTTCGAGTGAGTTGGCATTAGGAACAGGTAAGTAACCGTAGTATATATAATTTTTATACGTGATACCAAACATTTGAATCTCCGTCAAAGTCAAGCATTGTTTATCTATAAAAAAAATCCTTTTCATTATACCTCTCCGAAAGTGCTGTCCTTTTATGTATGCCACGCGCACCGAAGGTAGGGTATTTATTTTAACTTTTTTCCGGTGCGCTACGACTAATCAAGTCTGCCATAACTAGCCCCATCTACGAGTCCTATGCGTTTCCATGCATACCGCAACTTAACTTTGACATACGTAATTGTCAACCGATTCTTATTTATACCATTGTGTTAAAATGGATTTTGAAGAAGTCGAAATTCCCGCTAATATACTAAGAGAAGCTGCAGAAGCCAGTTCCCAATTATTACCAGCAAAATCAAAGGAAAGATACGAAAAGGAATATGAAGAATTTCGTAAGTGGTGCGTGGAAGAAAACGTGATAAAAGTTGTGGATGATGTTTTGCTGGTATATTTATCGAAAAAGGGAAAATCTATGAAACCAAGTACGTTATGGAGTAGGTTTTCAATGATCAAGAGTTGTCTTGCAATAAAAGAAAATGTGGACGCTAGCAAATTCTGTAAAACCATCGCCTTTTTGAAACGTCAGACCGTCGGCTACATTCCAAAAAAATCAAAAGTTCTAACAAGGGAGCAAGTTACTCAATTTTTGAATGAAGCTGCAGATGTAAAATGGTTACTTACTAAGGTTATTCTAGTGTTCGGAATTTTCGGAGCTTGCAGACGAGACGATTTAATTCGCTTGACTATTGACGATGTTGAAGATAATGGGCGTTTTTTAGTGGTTTTCCTTCGGGACGGAAAAACTCATAGGTCTAGAAGCTTCACCATAACTGAAGAAGGGTGTTCATTCCAGCCCTGTAAACTAGTTCGAAAATATGTGGCATTACGTCCTAAAGATATTGCAAGCCAGAAGTTTTTTATTGCGTATCGTAATGGTAAATGTTATAAGCAGAACGTTGGGTGCCATACTATTAGTGGAACTACACGGCAAATTGCAGAATATTTGAATTTAAAAAATCTCACTGAATATACGGGACACGGCTTAAGACGATCTTCAGCGTCGATGTTAGTAGAAGGTGGAGCTGATTTGTTAACTCTTAAGCGACATGGAGGTTGGCGTTCATCAGCAGTAGCCGAAGGGTACATAGATGAGTCATTAAACAGAAAAATTGATATATCCTCTAGATTGTTTAATCGTCCTAACGAATGCAGTACATCGAGAGATTCGGACGTTCGAACTATATCGGAAATTGTGGAGATCGGAACCACGAGCCGTATTCCCCAAGAAAGTTCTCAGGCGTACATTACATCAGCAATGCCAATTCTTTCAGCGACCGAAAACAACTTTTCAATTGGGCAAAAAGACAAAACACAAGGACTAAACATATCTAATAACCAAAATTGTACCATAAACGTTCATTTCTATGGCAATGCCTAATAGTTAACCTTTTTCTTCATTTTATATTCGATTTTGTTTAGTTAATTTGTTCTTTGCTGTTGCTGTTCATCTAATAAAACCCTTAAATTTTGTTTCGTTTTGTTTCGCAAATAATGTATGTGTGTCATCATAAGACAAGCAACAAAATTTGTTGTCAAATTGGATTTCGGCTTCAATGTAAATAATTATTTTCAGAGAAATTAGATATTTTCAGAAATCAAAATTTCACTTTTATTTCCATCACATTTGAACCATTTAGACCGGTCAAAATCTACATAAAATAAAGAAAACATTGCAAACGCGCATGTAACTACGATTTTTTTATATGTTGTTAGGTCCCTTCAGAGTAGTTAACACCCAAGTTTGCAACCCTGAAAACCTTGTGCTACCCCCACGGTGCTCGAAAAACTGCGAAATTTTGGCACATATTTCAGTTGTTTAGAAAAATGTACCTTAACGAAGAGTTTTTTCAAGTACGTGTTCTAGTACTTTAATAAAGATAACTAAATTTGCTACAATTTCAGCGAAACCTGAGCACGCTATGTCTTTTGGTTGCGAAAATACCGCAAGTCAAAGATGGGCAATTTTCCCCCAGTGCTAGGAAAACTGTGAAATTGCACATGCGCGTTTGCAATGTTTGATGTCGATATTGACCGAGCTAATTTATTTTTAATCGCGAATATTACCTACGTACATAAGCTTGATTGCGTTTATACAGAGTGGCTTCCTAATACTGTTAATGAAGAATTTCGTCCATAAGATAATTTTTTTCCGTCTTAAAGATTCGCCTGTTATTAACCAACATTTACTAGAAAGATAAATCAAGAAGCATTTAACAAAGTGTTGATGAAGAAGTTTGAATTTTTAATTGAACACCACGGGGAGGGAAACGAGGAGGTGAAGGAGAAGATTGAGTGGACGATGTCTGATTTTAAAGGTAATCCATAGCGTTGACAATTTTGGAATTGAAATTTATTTAATGTTTCGATTTCAGAATTTATGGACAATATTTAAATAAGCAGTCTATCCAAATCTGCTGAGAGGATGAATCAAAGGATACATTTTTAAAAAGAAGACGAAGAACAGAAATTAGACCGCCAAGTTCGCCAGCAAAGAAATCCACGCCAGATCAATCAGTTTCCATTTCGCCTCTCAGTGATTTGTTAGAGGATAATATGGACAAAAGTTTTATGTAATTAGATTTACAAAATGAAAGCGATGTTGATCAAATCTTTATTTATTTAATTTTCAATTTATTTTAATTCCTTTTTTGTGGAGAAAAACACTATACTGCATTTATTAAAAGAACGTTGGCGCTTATAAGAAGGATGGCGCTGTGTTTGAAGATAAACACACATAACATAAAGTAGAAATGAGTGTTGCCAAACAGAGGGTAATTACCCGAAAACCGGGTGTTTTTTGAGAGTAAAGAGAAAACTCGCGTAGAGCAAAAGGGCAAATGCTGGCTTGATCCCGATGCTCAGTTAAGCATAGGGACCGCGAAAGCGGGGCCTATCGATGCTTTTGACTTTTAGGAGTTTTAAGCAAGAGGTGCCAGATAACTGGCTTGTGGCGGCCAAGCGTTCATAGCGACGTCGCTTTTTGCATTCGGCGAAGTGTCCTAGACCCTTTATTTCTCTGAAAAACATAACTAAGTAGTAACCAACTTTTTTGACTTGGTGGAATCCTCATCTGGTACAGCTGAAGGTCTATATACTACCTTAAAAAATACTTTAGAACGGAAACAAATACCTATGTCCAATTTAATAGGATTTTTGTGTGTTAAATGTACATGCCACGTGATACAACTAGCAACATCGAAATCATGTCTTCAACTACCACGTTCGGTAGAGGACTTATTAAGAAATTTGGGAGCACATTTTAACAGAAGTCCTCTAAGAAGAGAACAATTTAAGGAATTTCAAGTATTCTTTCATTAAAACACTGTGTCGATCGAGTGTTGGAGCAATACGAACCCTTAAAGGCATATTTAACGGAACTGGTTTTTGAAGATCCTTCTAAGACTACTGAAGAAATGATTAGCACCATGGGAAATCAATTTACAAAAGTTTATTTAGAATTTATGTCGTACGTAACAGGCATGTTAACCGAATTTAATCTTTTATTTCAAAGTGAGGAACCCCTCAAGCCAGAATTATTAAAATTACTTAAAACTGCTTACAGTAACTATATGAATATACATGAAGTAAGAAAATGTGAAAATTTACTAAAATATGAACACAAAAATCCTAAAAATTTCGTAAAACTTGAATCCGTTTATGTGGGAATTAGTGCTTCACAAAGTATGGCACGGTTAATGTCCGATACTTCTGTAAATAAAGTTGGCATTGAACAGTTTTATAAAACTTGTTTAAAATATTACTTAGAACTTGTATCTGAGATTAAGCAAAGATTTGATTTTTCGGATGAATTATTTGAACTTGTATCCATTGTTGATCCAAAAATTGCACAATCGTACGAAGTAAAAAGCTTGCAACAAATTCTTCAACGATTACCTCAACTTCAAGAGTATGTTGATCCTCAAAACCTCGACGATGAGTGGAAGCAGCACGCTCTTCTAGATTATGGAAGCCATAAGTTAAAGAACTCCGTAGGTCTACCAATTTTCCCTAATTTAAAAATGGTATTGACATTACTATTAATATTACCATTTTCGAATGCATGCGTGGAACGTGTATTAAAGTGATTTAAAAAACATTAAAACCGACAAAAGAAATTTATTGAGTGCTGATACTTTAACAGCACTACTACATACAAAACAAGGAATCAATGATGGTGGAGGTTGTATCCATTTTAATCCTAAAGATGTTCTTAATATGTAATTATTTGTATATTCTTTTTTTGAATGTATATTGCAAAATATAAGTTGTGGTTTCGAATATTGTTATAACTTATGCGCATGGCGTTTGCAAAGTAACCTGCCAAAAGATGATGAAGATGCATGTTATGAAAATACGTCAAAAATTACAAATTTTGTAGGTACGTCGTAATGTTTGCAGTTGAAAAATCGCGCGTTCTTTTTAAATTAAGACGGGTAAAAGCGGGGATTTTAGTGTTGGGTAGTGGGGAATTGAATAAATGTACTTTGGCAACACTGGTAGAAATATTCAGCACTGCGAACAGAAATGAATCTTTCACAGTAACAACTAATGACATTTCGGGAGTTTAGTTGGCAACATAAACTACCACCTTACAAAATGCACCAGTTTTGTTTCATTGTAATACTGAATCGTGTTTTAACCAATCACAGTGAAGGTCAAAGCTTCCCTATGCTTTCTACCGCTACCTTCTTAAAATGAATCCAGTATAATCGTGGTGAAGGTCAAAGCTTCCCTATGCTTTCTACCGCTACCTTCTTAAAATGAATCCAGTATAGGTATATTGCTTAAAACATTGTATGCATAATTATTGGCCAGTTATTTATGGCACTGGTGTTCAATTTGCTTTTATATGGAAAGTCTGCTCTTAAAATAACAGAAAAATGTCATGTACGATACTCCATTAACGAGTCGTACTCACTTTTCATTGGCGCCTCGTCGGAACGATTCATTGTATCTTTGTCAAGTGTCAACGGATCTCCCGATTTTACCACAAACGCCATGTCATGGAAAGCATTCATGCAAGAATGCGAAAACGTTTTGCAACTCTTTTAGGTACTGGAGAAGGTGGTGTACGAATCATCACGATAGTTGGTTGGTAGATAGGTATTTAGGGTTATCGGATGTTTCCAAACACAAAGACTGTCTGAAAATGTATTGCTGGAAGGCAAACGGAACAATTTCATCGAAGGTGTCTGAAAAATATTTAATTATACCTACAATTTCTGCCCTGCACACTTTTCTAGAAGCATTATCGCCGGTTTTGACCTTACCAGTTACGTGAATATCATCTAAACCATCATTGACGTACAAATAATTATTTTGATTAAATGTATCAGTTATCGTTGATTCGCCACTCCGCTATTCAAGGAAAGTGAACTCTCTAGCGACAAAAACTTTCCGTTTGGAATATGAATATCTAAAGATGATGCATTCAGTACATTTGGTATAGTTTCTTGCGATCAACTTTTGGCACATGCCCCAATACTTTACAAACAAATACGTTTTGATCTGGTCGATTATTCTAACCCATTCAATTTGTATTCATGAAATCTCAAATTTATTAATAGATATTAGACGGGGTTTAAAATTTACACGGCCTTTTCGCAATCAAAATTTTGAACTTGGAAATGCTTTCCAGAAGGCATCGACGGAGGGAAAAATGAGGCCAATCAATCTCCCGAGCCTCAAAATGTACGCCAAGATGGTGTGAGCGTGCCAAACCAACTTGCTAGCAGGGCAATCTATGCAAGTTTGTGCCAAATCGGTATTCAATGGACTCAGGTATTCACATTTCGGGCAGGAATTTAAAGAATCAATGTCCAGGACTTAACGAATCTGAGGGACTAAAAACGCTTGACGATATCCACCACAGACTGTCAAAAATATGGGAGGACATCTGCCAAGTGCTGGACACGCAGAAGGGAAACTAGAGTGAATTTTTTTTTAATTGCGAACATAGGGGTTTGCATGCAATGTAATTTCCCCATGTTCGATTTAAAAAAAACACATCAATCTATTGAGTAGTTCAAATGAGTAGTAGATAAAATGTACCGCCGTCCAATTTAATTTCGAAATCGGTTAGGTGATTGCTTAGTCAAGGAGGACACTGAACATTTATTGTAGTTGGTTTCGTTATTTATTTTCTTATTTTCTTCATTTATGTATTGAATAGATCAAATTAGTAAAGTACCAGGTGCACATGACCTACAAATAATTGAAGGTTGGTTCACAATGAAATGTGGTGACAGCTCGTGCCCTGTGAGGTCAAGTTATCGTAAGTTTAAGAAAAATTTATCCTAAACTTGCTATAGCCTCACATGGCTTCTTTAAAAAAAAATCTTACCGAGTGCTCTTCATCATGAAGACTATAGAAACCGT